AAGATTGCAACAGTCGGACTTCGAAATTGTGGTTCAAGTCACTAATTTGGGGATCAAAAACACTAATCTGCGGCTCCAAGTAACAAACGACAATTTCGTTTACAAGGCCTGTACAAAATATTTTACTGATTTTTGGTTGGGAGAAGAGGATATCTATGGCAGCAAGAAGAACTTGAACTGTCCCTTCAATTTGCCGCCTTTTCCTGACTTTATGGCTTTTCATAGCTTACCGCAACCCATATCAAGGGCCTCCCATATGTTAACCATGTAATTCGAAATACGATCTCCTTTTTTGGTCACGCACATGCACCTGTAAAGAAAAAGAACTGAACATTTATTTCTAAGTTTTTGATACGAGCTAATTAACATGGGATTGATGTATATACCAGTACATATCAGCGTGAAAATCTGGTCCAAATTCAATTGCTAATGTTCAGCAAATCACACGTTTTTTTTCGTAATATATTTACTTTTGCTTTTTAGGTACGATTGTGACACAATTAGAATATTATAATTTCACAAAAAGAATACATCATAAACTCTGCTTCAGACAGGCACATACTACAAATGTAAATTTATTTATAAATCTTATTTCAATCGTACATGTATGTTTGTGACAAAGTCGCTCGTTACTTACTGTTTAAACTTGATTTTTGTACGATACAGATTCAGAATAATGTTTTGGAATTGATTTAACTAGCTTGCATACCTTAATTACCACGCTCTCTTCTGAAATAACATCATTTTTCACAAATCTAATTTCAAAACCGATTCAAAGCAGACTATGACGCAATGTCTTGATCTACAGTAAAAAAAATTACAAAAAACATTAACATTTCCAAAGAAAAGATGGGGACTTACTTGGAGCCAAGACACTGTTTGGGGGAATAATCGCCGTTGTCTTCACAGTTCAGTTTTGGAGCTCCTACTCTGGTCAGAAGGTTACCCTCAAAGTCAGCCTTGCGCTCCAAACAGTTCTCTAGAAATAAAGTGTATAATTTATCACTTCCCTAAGCAAAATATCAGGCCTGCTGCAAATTTGTTCTGGAAACGTTTTAAAATAATCTTGCATTTTTAGGTTTTCAGAAAAAGTTTATCTAAAACTTCAAAAAACTGTTTGTGCAGCGTTTATATGAATTGTATACATACTTTTTAACATAAAAGAATATTACTGATGTTAACTAATGGGGTATATCATACACTGTAAAAACAGTGCTTAGCATTTAAATACATACAACATACGTTAAGCACCTATACGCATTGAGAAATATGTGTAAAAGCTAAGCACGTATAGCTTTTCAAGCGTTTCACAGAAGAAAATGCTAGACACGTTGGCAGTGTTACACGTTTAGCTATGTGCTTAGCTTCACCGGTATATGGATCTAAAATAAGTCTATCACAAGCTAAGCACATTGGCTAAGCACTTCCCCTGCTAAGCGCGTGAGGCTGCTAAACACATGGAGCTGCTATAGGTGTGGAATTCCTAAACGCGTGGAGCTGCTGAACAATACCCTCTACCAAGGCTGTAGTTCTTGGGGACATTTTTTGCTGAGGTGACATCAGATTAGATTGACTATCTGTTTATCTAGAGACATATCTGTTAATATCTGTGAAAAATCAATCTGTCGCCCTGGTAGAGGGTAGCTGAACAACAAGTTTAGCTTTTCAAGCTTCTTTCAGAAGAAATAAAAATGTTTAACATTCTTAGAAGTGTCGCACTTTTAGCTATGTGATTAGTTTCACCGGTCCCATAAGTTTATTACAAGGCTCAACAATTTGGCTTAACACTTCCCCTTGTAAACGTGTGGAGCTGTTGAAGGCATGGAGCAGTCTGCTCGAACGCTTTGTGCCCTTCCTTGCAGTAACGCGTGCTTATTTAAAATAGGCCTATTAAAGATGCATACAAAGTCAATTTTTTTGCTCAGCAACCAACCAAATACCAGTATATAGTTTCAAGAAGTATAATTAAGAAAATTGCCAGAAGGCATTGATTAATAATACCCGAAAAATGATATTTGAATGGATTTTTCTGTTAGCTTACTATCCTGTATATACAATGTACATGGGGCAGAAAAGTAGGTCACATAAGTAGGTTAAATTTCTGACCAAAAATTTAAAGAGCAGTCTAAAACTCTTTTATGGCTGATCGAGTGATTTATTCAGTTTGTCCCTTTATTTGAGTCGTATTAGAATCTAGTAGAAGTGGTTTATATGTGTTACTGGCAACCCACGCTCCACCGATGCTCGGTTTATATGTACCTTTAAGTAATAATCCAAATAACAAATAACGTTTTCACGACGTTGTCAGATGGTTACATGCTGGTTATGGTATAGAAGAACATTATGGTAACGTTATGGGTGTTTTAATGATGTACAGTAACGTTATAATTTGTAAAAAGATTCGAAGACCGTTTCTACAAAATTTTATGATACATGTAACGTCATTTTGTGGAGTTTTATCAGCGTGTTTATAACACNAACTTAATCAAACGCATGCATAAATGAAATTATCATGATAATAATATCGCCATTGTACGAAATCATAGAAGATAAGATGCTCAAAAATTTTAATCGTTGTAACTAAAAATAAAATACATGCACTGGTATGATAATGTAATACACCTTCCACTTTCTAGCAAACTAATTTAATCATAATACGTCAGGTAATGCAACTGATACGAATACTCGTGTGAACGTGCTGAGTGGCCATATAGACAGATCAGATGCCACTTTGTCTTCAATGTGATCGATAAAATGCTGACGCCCTAGACCTATTGCAATAAATTTATTGATTGTACATGCACTTTCTACTAAGAATTGGCGCATAAGAGGCTTACAACTTGGCTAAAATACAAGCAACGTGCATTTAATTTGTTGGGCTACAAATGCTGCTATTTATTTCAATTTTTAATTTGGTGATCATAGGCAGCAGTAATTCAATTCAGTTTTCGATGAAGCTCAAGACGGCAGATATGATATTCATGAACAGAAGATATATACAACTATCCTTCGCAGTATACGTTACTGTTTTTATTATCATTTCCAAATCTGTTTCGCTTCGGTTGACTCCAGTTCAGTGTGTGATGAGAGAAATACAGCGAGGCACCTGTCAGTATTCAAATGTTACTGATTTAAATTCTTGTATTCTGATCGGGTATGGGCAACGACCAGCGCAGTATAGCAAAACCTCACAGTTGTGTCTGGTGGACGAAGCTGTCGGTAGGTCATTAATTTTTTCTTTTCTTCTCCTTATACATGTAATCACACGTTGACCTATAAATCTGTTCATTATCTTTGTCTTTTCTGTTGCTTTGATGTATATAGCATTGATTTAGGATAGGATATATAGGTCCAATAGTTTCCAGCTTAGGAGAAAACGCAGTGCATACATGTATACATGTGTATTAGAAGGTTAAACTGGAATTAAAGGCGTCCTTATATTTAGTTAACGTGGGGTGCTGGAAAGACACCGAAGAGCGAGCCATCCCTACCCTAGAGGGCGCGGATCCTATACTAGATGGACCATATGGAGGTAGGATCAACGCCGTTGAAAAGTGTTATGCTGCGGCAAGGAAAAGAGGATATATTTATTTCGCTCTTCAGGCCGATGGCTGGTGCGCCTCGTCTCCGACTGCCGAGTTAACTTACACCAAGTACGGACGCTCTGCCGCTTGCAACGCGGTCGGAACTGGAGGGTATTGGGCCAGCCAAGTTTACAAAATAGACTTCTAACCAACTAGAATAAGCGGAGTCTTTATTCAGACAACTGAACGAGGCACGCAGGTTTATAACAAAATTTTATTAAAATTATCCACTGATATTCCCTGTTATTGCTTGTGCTACTATAGCTGTCCTTGCCGCAGTGGGCGAAAGCAGTCTTTTATAATTCGGGATGGATTACGCATGTACGTTGCTGAGTATTTTTTTTTAGAGATATTCATGAGTAGCCATAAGGGGCGGTGGTAATTGCGCATGCGTTACAGGACGGGTGGAGAAGATGTACGCAAACGAAGCCTGTGCAATGCCGCGTTTTGCTGATATAAATACTGTAGATATAAATAATAATCCGGATCACCATCAAAATCTAATAATTTGTTTCTTGGTCCTATTCTGGCCTATCCTGAAAATTTCATTAAAATTTGTCTATGGCTTGTGCAGAAAATTTCTAACAGACAGACAAACTACATTGTAACTAACAAACAAACGTAAGGACCCGAAAATATGGCCTCCTTAGCAGAGGTAATAATTGCTTGATTAAGTGTTTATCATCCTGGCGTAAGATGGAGTTGTATTCTATATGATAAAACTTACATTGAAATATATTCCCAATGAAACAGGAGCATAATACTAGATTAACGTTAGCAGAAGCTTTATTGTTTTCGGCCAACAAATGCAGATTTGATCAATCCGTTAAAGCATAGATGGGTACGGTGCTTGCATATACGCCAAAGGAAGAAATCAAGTTCTGATATAATATGCTTTCGGACTGTCGATGTGAAAGCATTTTATGACTGTATTATTTATTTATTTATTTTTCAAGTTGTTAGAAATTATGCAGGTGATTGACTTTATTCATTTAAATTGAAATGCAGGTAGTAGAATAATTGGAAAAACTTAATCTAAGGGATCATTCTAACTTATTTAAAAGTCTATCGATCAAGGCAATCAAATCACCAGAACAGCATCCCACCTTGTTTGGTGGCTTCCTAAATAATTAACAGTACAGGTATTTGTGATGCACGTGTATATATATCATCTTGTGCAATTAGTTTACGGATGGCATTTGGTAGATTAGTTCATCAAATCAGTCCAGTGATTAGGGAGAATTGCTGTTATGTCTGACATCGATCTGGTTTAACTAGATAATGCATTGACACCAAATTGTTGATTCAGGAACACGCAACGAACATACACGTATTTGTCTAAAATAAATATTTAAATCACAGCAAATAAACGGTATATTTTCAACCGGTCTTTATCAAGCCACAGTGGGGAGTTGTACATGTACAGCTGTAGGTGTAGATGATGCATACAACAGGCGTATGTTATTTCTAACTGAATTTATTCTCTCGTCTTCAAAACAAAGTTAAGCGTTCTTATTGGTGTCTTATTGGTCTAAATTTATCTACATACACATAAGTTTCATTGTAAAAGGTCCACCTTTTCAGAAAAAGAACCCCCCTTTTGAATTTGCTGGCTACGGGCCTGCATTGCTTGTTTCTTTGACACAATTAAATCGTCAAGTGACATATCCTGTACTTAATCAAATCCAGTGGTAATGGTGAAAAGGATTTAAATTCTTAATTTATAAAAATGCATATATCGAAATCATTTTGTTGAAATTTTCAACACGCATTTGATCGTAAAGTTTGTCAAATAATAACTAATATTACACGTATACGTTCAGCAAAAGATGAGTTGGGGCTCGTTTTTAATGCATTACGGCCCGTCTCACGTTCAGTTGAATCCTAAACGACTCATCCCTGCTAGCCAAAGTAGTTGCCTAAAAGTAAAAGTACCTGTGTTATAATCCCAAGTCGAACGTTATACTGTTATTATATTGACTTAATTAATGCTATATGCTTTAAATTAAGAGAAGGGAGAAACATTTTAAGAATGAAACACGCATGGTAATATGTAGAAAAAGATCAGCTCATTAGAAATTTATTGTCATATGAAATATCTCGCTATGCGTTTCCTGAGTATAAACTAAGAGAAGTTCATGAGAAGCCGTTTTTTAATATATGAATATACTGTACTTTGGTAGTTAAGTCTCTTACCTTTAGAATCGCAGTTGAATGGCTTGTCGTTACCCCCCTTCTGACTGTACTCGTACTCCGCACGTGCACATTCTAGGGAAAAAAAACATGATTAGACACTCTTTCGATGCTCGCAGTCAGCATTAGTAGAGTCGGGCTATGAAATTGTAGTTCAAAATACGGTTATACACTCTTTTCATGTTCGCAGTCGATCAGCATTGCAACAGTCGGGCTTTGAAATTGTAGTTCAAGTCACTAATTTGGCGATCAAAAACACTAATTAACAATTAGTAACAAACGACAATTTCGTTTACAAGGCCTGTACAAAACAATTTACTGATTTTTGGTTAGAAGAAAAAGATATCTATGGCATCAAGAACTAGAACTGTTCCTTCAATTTGCTGCCTTTTCCTGGTTTAATGATTTTTTATAGCTTACCGCAACCCATATCAAGGGCCTCCCATATGTTAACCATGTAATTCGAAATACGATCTCCTTTTTTCGTCACGCACATGCACCTGTAAAGACAAAAGGGAACATTTATTTCTAAGTTTTTGATATGAGCTAATTAACATGGGATTGATGTATATACCAGTACATCGGCGTGAAAATCTAGTCCAAATTCAATTGCTAATGTTCAGCAAATCACACGTTTTTTTTTCGTAAGAATTTGAATATATTTACTTTTGCTTTTTAGGTACGATTGTGACACAATCAGAATATTATAATTTCACAAAAAGAATACATCATAAACTCTGCGTCAGACAGGCACATACTACGAATGTAAATTTATTTATAAATCTTATTTCAATCGTACATGTAAGTTTGTGACAAAGTCGCTCGTTACTTACTGTTAAAACTTGATTTTTGTACGATACAGATTCAGAATAGTGTTTTGGAATTGATTTAACTAGCTTGCATACCTTAATTACCACGCTCTCTTCTGAAATAACATCATTTTTCACAAATCTAATTTCAAAACCGATTCAGAGTAGACTATGACGCAATGTCTTGATCTGCAGTAAAAAAATTACAAAAACATGAACATTTCCAAAGAAAAGATGGGGACTTACTTGGAGCCAAGACACTGTTTGGGCGAATAATCGCCGTTGTCTTCACAGTTCAGTTTTGGAGCTCCTACTCTGGTCAGAAGGCTACCCTCAAAGTCAGCCTTGCGCTCCAAACAGTTCTCTAGAAATAAAGTGTATAATTTATCACTTCCCTAAGCAAAATATCAGGCCTGCTGCAATTTTGCAAATTTGACAGCATCATTTATATGCTTTAAACAACGTTCTGAAAACGTTTCCAAGTAATCTTGTATTTTTAAGTGTTTTCTAAAACATCAACAAACTGTTTGTACAGAGTTTATGTGGCTTGTATACATAGACTTTTTAACATAAAAAAATGTTACTGATGTTAAATAATGGAGTATATCATAGCATTACCCTGATCATGTTTAGCTATAACGTTATGTTAATGTTTCCTTTAACCTTATTAGCAAAACACGTTAATGAAGTTATCGAAAACGCGTTGATAATGGTACAAAATATTTACACAATAACGTTTCCAAAACATTTATGTGTTAGCTGGGGTAAAGGTTTTACAAATAGCTTACTTTTCACACAGGTTTGGCTTTCCGGGCTGCATTTTAGCCCTTCACCGCATTCAGCTGTGGCAGGCACTCCAAGCAACAAAAGTTGGATGCATTTGTCGCCTTCCTCTGAAAAATCAACAACATTGATTCGGTGTTTTGTTGATAAGACAGCCAAGATATAAACAGTGTACAGGCAAATTACACGTGGAAAATACTGTAGTTTGCCTTAGATTCTTAAAATAATCGTCCATGAGTTTTAAATATATGTCGGATGTTTAGGAGAGAAGTTATGGGATCCTTTTTTTTGAGCCAAAAGCTGGACAGGAGTAAATTACATTTGCAAATTTCAGAACTCAGGCCTGTATAATGCATCATATCTGATATAGCACACCGTGCATGTTATCCTTTTACTTTACCCTACCATGACCTTTATGATACCGGCTCTACTTTCCAACTCATCACGATACCAGTTCCACTACCCGCACTGAGAAACACAGGGCGCTCTCCTCCATTATTCTAGGTCTCCCTACAACCGATCTACTTACATGTACAAGGGGGGGGGGGGGTGGCTTCGTGACATAAATTACACGTACCTACGGCCGTACATGTATGTGTAAAAATCTGCACTTAGGAAGCCGAATGTGTATGTACATGTGTATGTACCAGTTTGTGTGTGGGGTAACCGTACGGAAAACATAAATAAACGGGGGTTTGGGGGAGGGTGGGGGTTGTCTACTAATTCTGTTCTCCCTGCGTTTATGTTTGGCGTGCATAAAAATAGTGGCGGGGATATAAGCTCCCTGCTTCACCCCTGGTTCCTAGGCCTATGCACAACACTGGCTGTTTAAGTTCTTGACTTGAAATTTATTGAAATCTGTTAAGATTTGAGAAAAAGGTTTTAGTGCATTTTACTTCCAACTTAGTATAAAGTCATAGTTAAACAAATGACACACCAAATTAGAGGGCAAAACACGAGAGAGAGAGAGAGAGAGAGAGAGAGAGAGAGAGAGAGAAAATGAACTTACTCAGCAGCGTTATACAGACGTCACAACAGCCGCACATGCCACCGGGTCTTACCGCGCCACCTTTGGCCAAGCACGCTTGTTCATCCAGTAAGGTACAGGTGGCTCCCTTGCAGGCGTCCGGAGGGCACACCAAGGCGTTTGCGGCCGCAGCGCAACAAGCCAGAAGTACGAATATTTTCATGTTTTTCAAAATAGAGGCAAAATGATGCTTTAAAAGCAAGTTATTTTGTGCTTCTCCTTTGAATATCAGGAGCGTGGTATTTATAGCGTTATCGTGCTGGCACTCTAGATAATGCAGTGTAACGTCAACATTTACTCTTGCCAAAAGATAAGGAGGGAAGAATGACAAATGTAACTTGTTTCAACTTTATCTTTTTCTTTTAATTGGAAAAGTTGTGAGATGACTCTGCTGCTGATGTATAATATGATAATTATAAAATCTTTAAAAAGTCCTCACGACAGTATGAAAAGGCTGTAGATTTAAAAATTCAGCCATTTGTGCTTATATACAAAGTACTGGAGTTTCAGCGTTCATTTTGGAATTGCATGCTTGTTTTTTTATAGTATTTACACCCACAATTCATCTTGCGCGAAACCGTGACAACCTTTTAACCGCCTGCTTATACCGGTTCACGGCCCACACAAGCGAAGAGCGTGACCCTGTGGCTTACGTGCCAGTTAATCTCTGGAGAGCAACAGACGCGGTTTGTGAATTGCCAAATATTAGCATCACGATTCGAGATAACGCGTAAGCTTATGCGTGCACCCACATAGAGGCAGAGCTATTACAGGGTTGATTGTATGGAAACTGATACCGTGGAGAAAACGTCGCAAGAGAAAGACGTTTCTGTTTACAAGTATTATCGCTCGGGCAAATGTGACACAGACACAGGAATAAAAACGATAAAGACTCAGACAGAGATACAAATGACTCAACGCATTCGATTTTGCTTTTACTTTTGTCTACAAATGTGTGTGTGTGTGTGCACGTGCGCGCACTTGTGTCTGTTACAGCCGTGCTCGAAGATCGAATCATTTATTTTCAGGAAACTCATTTATTTTATCCTTGAATTCGCGACAGATATGATTAAACAGTTGCTCGCAATATTTTAGAAATGGATGATCTTGGAATCTAGAGAATTTTTCTCATAATGTTGCTTGCTCGAACAATTTGCTGTAAAGTGTCTTTAAATGTTGGCACAATGTAAAAAAAGATATCTAGAAACCAATGTCGTTTTGATAGACGATACGAGAATTATCTTTGCTTTGCATTTTCTATGATCCCTTTTTTAAAACAAATTTGACAGAAAAAAAATTGTTTTAGATTTATTCAGTCTTTGATACCATTTCCACCTTTCGACCGGCTACAGTTTATGTCAATCGCGTCTTCGGATCAAACTCCAATTAAAAAAAGTTAACAGTTGAGCTTGTGTTGCTCCCAGATTCCCACTGGCTGTGTGGCCTGCAGCATCTTTCCGGTTCTGTCTGCGCAGAAGCAAACTGAGCCAGAGCACTGGATCTTGTCGTAGTTACCTGGAAGTAAAAGTTTATTTAGGGATATCGTCCACGGTAATAAAATTGTAATCAAAACATCTTTATCGCTAAAAAGCCAAACATGTCAAGGTAAAGGATGAAAAGGCACGATTGTGCCATTCAGTGTTTATTCGAATACATGTACATAAATCTACTGTGTGGTACATGAATTAATTATCATATTTTAAATCTGAGCCAGTGTTTAGAACGTATTGTCTCAGAGCGACTGAGAAACTTTAAAGGGTTCAATAAAATTAGGCCCTACCAGTTCAAATGTATTTCAAAATTTCTGTAGATATTGAATACAATATCAACAAAATAATAACATTAAATATACATTTAATATAAATATAATTGTTTAACGAGACATTATGTCACACCCGTCAACCGACGTGGAGACTAATATACAAGACGTGTTCAAACATATTTATCATACATATTAAGTCAAAAATGAAGAATTTAAATGATTTTGTTAACGACGGTTGCAACAGCCGATTTTCCACCCAGGGTAAAACAATATAAAAAACAATGCATTTCACTCCACAACTCATTGAATCAAATAATTTTTTTCTCGGATGTGCCCTTCATTCGTCAAGATGTCTTGTTTACGAAGTAAATTGCGATTGTAACAAAGTTTCAGGTCTTTCATGGTTTTGTGAAATGGAATGGCAAAAAAAAAAAAAAAAAAATGCTTATTTTTTTATCATTTGTAAACACGAATTTATATCATGTCACGTGAGTAGGCAGTCAAGATGAAAATTCTAATTCATGGCATATAGAACTCCTAAACGACGGTCCTTTCCTTTGAGACTGACGTTTGAAATAAAAATAATTTACCGTATTTGTCACAGTTATACATCTTGCCGACGATTCCCAGCTGTTGGTAGTCATCCAAGTCACGTGCACATTCTGAAACGAAATTTGATTGGTTCTACAGCATCACGTGTTAAAAATAGCAACATCGAACACATACACCAGTGCACAAGTCTGATAAAACTGTTACTGATAATAATAAATACAAGTAGAGAGCACAGGCTAATATCTCACTCTTTCACTCCGACATATTCCAAGTGCTTTAATTTACTGTCAGGTTTATGAAACCACAGCCAGCAATTATAACCAGAATATTTGAAAACTTCAACATATCCACAAGACCTGCATTTATTGGAAAACAGAAAATTGAAAAATGTTCATCTATTGACTTGGCTCTCCTTTTGCAACGGATACACACCCTGTAATCAATTATTATTTGGGTGTATATAATCGCTTAGTATTTAGATTAATATGGCAATTTAACTCACGGCAGTCATGGTCTTCCCATCTGTGTCTCATATCGTAATTCAACATGTCGCCACATGCGTCTACGCAGTAGCTCCTGTAGAAAATAAATAAATAAATAAATAAATGAATAAATAAAGTCAAGATCATTATCTTATTTCTAGATCTTCACAAAGAAGATGAACAATTATCTAAAATATTTAAATTACACGTATTATACGTAGAAAGAGGAACTGTGTGAACCAACTTTGCAAGATATCGAAAGCCAAACTTACATAGATCCGCGGACCTGTTTGGCGGCGAAAGTGCCATCATCGTTACATTTTGGTGCTTCCAGTCCCAGTGGTCTGTTGACCATGTTCTGGACCTTAAGAAGCTCATCCGAACATTGCTTTTGGCACAGCTCTGAAAAACAGAAAAGAATGCAAATGCTTAAGTGGTCACGTTGTGAAGAGCAGAACAATATGCGGAATTAGGAACATGATAATTGCTAACAAAATGGCTAGATTGCCATTTAGAAATCTCATAATTAAGTCGATTCTTTTTCAGGTCGCCAAATCTGTGAGACATTGTTGAAATCAGATGTGCGAAAACGTCATTCTGAAGTAATAAAAAGACATTGCCGTACCTTGTTCCTAAACACATTATTCTATTTGTTTAAAGTTACGAATCCAAGGAAAAATGTCCTCATCAAAACAAAAGTATTAATTTTACAAACATCTTTTTATCAAGATGCCACAATACTTACTGACAGCGCTGGCAGCAACCAGAACGCAGGCAAGAACAACCAGAACCTTCATCTTTCAAGTGCTGTCCCTCGTCAATACAAAACTGTATGTGAGCACCTACACCTGCCTTGACCTTATATATACGTCTTATCTGGCAAATCTGGCTATATTTAACTCTGCCAAGCCCATATCATGTCCACGGAGGTTTAGGTCTTATGGGCATCGGAAACATATGTACTATATCGCGAAATGTGCTTATCTAGTTTTGTCATATCTGCAGAGAGCAGTGTGTATGTTTGTCCAAAAAATCTGAAAGCTCCTATCAGTGTGGGAAAGGCCACACATATAAACAATTGGAAATGAAAGGGAGCTGAAGTACCACTTGAATCATGTTTCTATTTTTGTGAATCGTTTGAACCCTCTTCTTACCCCCCTCCCCGGTCGGGATTTGTTTTCAGTTTACAAATGCTTCAGATTCATTCTTTGAAGCTGCAAGTATATCAGTGCATATATGAACATAGCGAGGTATTAGGTTTTTGCGAAACGTCAACGATTTTCTACTTAATAGATTGTAAACATATGATCAGTTTCTAAATCTCTTCCACAAAACACTCACTTTACTTTCGGATATGAACATCATGTACCGGAACATGAACGCTCACCATCCCATAACATAATGCTACTTGTTTGGGTGCTGTGTACTTTTGGAGTGCATGTACTATTAGAAAGATTATTCTGTGTGTCTGTTTGTGTGTGTGGATTTGCGTATTTCCTCAAGACATGTATGTTAATATCAGAATCCAATACTGATATCGAATATGCGATTTGAACATGTTTTAATAGAACTTTATAGCTTATTTATCTATTTATTATTATTATTATTGAAGTACAGAATATAGAAATAGCACAGTCTGTTTGAGAATTCGCTTTAATGAAATTGTGCTCATTGTAACGTCGGAATTTAAGGCTTGATTTCTCAACTTGGAGTTCCTAGTTGGGCTTGCGATAATTGCCTGAAAAAAAGTCATGTATTATACATTTTCGGCGGTGGAAGGTTGCCTGCCAAAAACAAACAGTTCTTTTTAAAGTGAAATCCATGATAACACTGTCACAATCATTTACATCCATCTCAGACTTATTGCTCAAATAAATATTGTTATTGCAGATATCTCAGTGACTCACACGCAAACATTTACTAAACCTGGTATATTATCTGTCCTATAATCTTAAAAAGGTGACATAATGCATTTCGTTCTTGATAATATTCATAATACCAAATTTATTCGAGGTTGGCCATTTTCAAATATTTTGGCCAACTGGTATTATTTTGCACGAAATTGTACCGTAAGTATTGTATTACTATGTATTCTTACCGTATTTATCACAGAAGAACAGTTTTCCGATGATGCCTTTTTCAAGGTAATCAGCCAAGTCACGTGCGCACTCTGAAACAGGATCAACCAATGAAAGGACAGAGTCAGTTTAGGCTCACAGTATTCTTACATGGCAAGTAAAGATCAACAACAAAATGTTTGTAAATCAAATGGAAATAAAATTATAATCTAGCATTTGAGGTCTTAGTCATTTGTTAATAATTTGAAATAATAAATGATTTGAACTCACTGCAGTCGTTGCCTTGAGAAATATGGCCCATTTGGTAGTCAGTCAAAATGTCACCGCATCTGTCCACACAATAGGTCCTGGAAATATTACTGTACCTATCAGGTTGACGTCAACGTACAGAGAAACACACCGTGATCCCCACTTCTGCTCTATTTATTTCAATTCTGGGGTTATCGATATTATAACTATTTGAAATTGAAATTTTGCACCAAGTGACGTCAAGCGTTTCACAGAAACCTTAGAAAATTCAAATATCTTTCATACTCCATCGCCCATAACTTACGCCGATCCTTGGAACTGCAGGGCTGCGTATGTGCCATCATCCTTACACGTAGGTTTCCATTGGCCAAGCAGTGTAGGTCCGTTCTGGATCTGAAGCAGCTGAGTTTTGCACTTGTTTTGGCAAAGTACTACAATGAATAGACATGCACTAATCGAGTACAGAGCACGGGAATAGGACATGAAGCTCTTTTGTTTTCGATTTTTTCCGGAACAGATCTATTACTCGATCGACCATTTATAACGGTGTCATACATTGAATAGATAAAAAAGGAAATTAATGTTTCTCCGTTTTAACCAAACCAAAAGTGCAATCTCATGTACCAAATAACAGTGTATTTTCTCGTCTTCTGAGACTCATTTTTTACTACTATACCCAAACCCTGTCCACATACTTTCGGCGCTAGCTGCAACAACAACACAGGCAATAACGACAAGGAACTTCATCCTGGGCTCAGAACTCTTCGTTTGACGATACGGTGTATTATGGTATGGTGTGTTATGGTGTGTTGCCGTGTGTTCTCTTACCCTTGGTGAGAGAAGAGCCAGATGTCGCACACTCCTTGGTGTGTTAGTAGGCCTAATCCGCGGCAAAGGGTTTTCTTCTAAACTACTTAACCAACGGTTCCTTGCATTAGCAATGATGCGATGAAACAAACGAGGAATGAATAAATGTATCAATAAATGAAAGTTGAAAATAAGTGACGGTGCACTTTGTCGTTAAATACACAATTGAACCCGCGTAAATCAATCAACTTATGGCATAAAATGTTGCGTTTGGAAAAGTTGTGTAATTCTAAATAATGATGAGTTCAGAAATACCAGGCACGGGCAAGGTAAGACTGTTCAAAAAGGGAGAAGATAAGGCACTTGCATGGAAGGGTCCTGAAAAGGACGAACCAATATTTGTTCAAGTTTTGAAAGTTTGATTTAGACGACAGAGTTGACGCTTGATTAGGGAGGTCAACGGGTTTTGTTTTATCAAAATAATCTTTCAAATGTAAAGCGCACGGACCTGATAAACAATCAACTGCGATGCGCGTCCTACTCATTTGAGTCGACACATTTTCAGAACTATATCAATTTCTAATATAAAATCTTACGCCTTAAATATATGTCCTGATAAGTCAAAACTAATACATTTCTGGACTTTCTGCAGTGGTGCTTTATTATTATAATTATTTTCGCCAGAAGCATTCTTTACAAGTTCATTTATTTGTACATGAACCCGCAAGTTAAATGCCAATATAAACCGTCTGTCTTTTAATTATGAATCACAGTCAAAACGAATGTCCAGGTTGTTCCTCACAATTGTCATACATTGACAATCTGCAATCAGTGTCTGGTAGTATTTAACAATTGAGGGTTTTCACGGCGGAGATGGATACGGGAGGAGTGCTCTCCAACTTGGACCCCTTCTCGTCTACGCAGTAACAGACGGATCCGGTACACTGGTATTTCTCGTAGTTTCCTGGAGATAGAAAACACTGCGGCGTCTTGACACATTTCAAGCGACTACATAAAAATAAATCACATCTTTTTGGGGAGGATTGACATCACGGGCACATACACATTAAGTTGCCCCAATATCCTTTTATTAGTAAATAATCTATCGTTTCTCAATAATACGGTAAACCTGGAAGAGTTAAATAAACACACAGACATGATGGTTCAGTCAGATAAAGTGACTTCTTGAAAGAATATTGACGATATTAAAACCAAAGAAAAAATTATATCAATTAAAACAAATTAAGCAAGCAAAACTTTTAAAATTTTGCCGGTCAGCTTTAAAATTTGTCCGTTGCACTTGTTATTCTTGTACGAGCCGTAAAATGTTGTTTTTGACTGTAGAACCAACAATTCAATTTATAATTCGTAAATCAAAATACATATGCTTGTACATTTTTGTATAGGTGGTAGACTTACCGTTTTCTTTGCAGATGTACATCTTTCCAATGAGACCTTTCTTTTGGTATTCGTCTTCATCACGTGCACAATCTGATAAATTATTCAACGAAAATACAAATGAATTTAGATTTACAATTATTGTTCAAGGCATGTAATCTGTTATACATTTAAATCACTGTACATGTACATGCACATGAACAGTGCTTTATCACAACTTGATAAGAAAAGTAAAGATTCTATTCAGTTTGTAACACTTACAGAATGCCTGGTTTGATGATAATATGGGTTTATACAATCAATTTTCAAATCATAAAATAAAGGTACTGTTCGCATGTTATTAAAGTAGAGAAATAAACAAATTGCTTTATACGTATTCATGGGAACAAATTGCGGTAAGTAAAACGGGATGGGGTAGGGGATTCGCTTAAATCGGACACATTCTGGTACAGAGCACATCTGCACTTAGTCGTTACGTGTTAAATTTCGTGTTTTAAAAATCAAGTTGCATTGAAAACTTACTACACGTCATGTCTTTTGCCTCCCAAAACCTTGCTGAATAGTCCCCAAGACGATCTCCATCCTTGTTTACGCAAAAACAACTGAAACAAGCGAATAAAACATTTACTGGGCCTATCAACAAAAAGGTTTCAGCGACTTTAAAGTTGCTTAAAAGGTGAAACCAACCAGAATAGACTGAGGGTTAGTTTTACAAATATTTCAATTTGGAAAGAAGTTAAACAGGGTTTGACATTTATAAAAATAATTATTTTTTTTAGATAACAATAGACCTATTGTACTGCTAAACAACAAGATTCATCAAATCCAAAATCGCTCCTAAAATTTAATTTAGGGTCCTTACTTAATCATTTTTGAGTCACACTTATAATGAAAATGAAGACTAATATATTTTACTAGGACGACATTATAAAGAATGTCATTTTCTCTAAATGCTTAAGATACTACATGTACACTGTAGTTCATGTTTACCTTGCCGAAATTTTGAATTTTAGAAAATCCTTGAAAACTTCAGAAACTGTTTTTTAAAATAGATATTAAAATATCATATGTGCAACTGGCATTGTGTATCTTGAAATATGAATATTCGTTACCTAGCTTCTTTGCACTGCTTGGCACTGTAAGTACCGTCGGCGTCACAGGTAGGTGGTGTAGCACCCAGCAGAGGTTGCCCCTGTCGCCTTGACTCTTCAATACGAGCCAAAACCAAAGCGCGAGACATAGCGCACGTCTCTACAAATAAAAAATCTTATTATGCAGAAGTTTTAGCATGTTGTATTTCGATGTCATACGACGGATGTAGAGCGAAAATAAGTGTTAGAATGGGTTGTATTTAAATACATTTTGTCATACGAAGCACTTTAAGCACGTACCAGTGTTCTTTTTCCTGTTTCTAAATGGAATAACAACAAAAATCAATTAATATAAAATTCAAAGACCATTTCTAAGCATATTTCATAAAATCATTAAACAAGCAGATTTTAAAAAAAACTTTAAAAAATACTTAAATATTTAACAGACAACAAAAACTCACGTCGACGGCATTTGCTTGTATTGATGTCACAGAACAGTCCCTCGCCACACTCAGAGGAAGGCGGGGAGCCGAGGAGAAGAGTGGAAGAGCAGCTGTCTCCTTCTTCTGTAAGAAATATATATAATCATGTTTATTGTGATACATCTGCATTTTTCTTCATTGGCATTCTTTAGTTTTGACAATGTTGTATTTTGGCTTGTTTGCTGAATTGTTTTTTAAAAGTTAAAAAAATTCTCTTGGGCGTGAACTTACTTATTAAAATTTTAACATATGGCCAGGTTTTAAAAGCTGGCTCACTTGACATTATTTTATGATTAATTAATTAATTAAGAATATTTATGCATGAATATCGTTGTCAGGATGGCCGAGCGGTCCAAGGCGCTGCGTTCAGGTCGCAGTCCACGTCTGTGGGCGTGGGTTCGAATCCCACTCCTGACATGAAATACTGTTTTGTATCGGTTTTAGTCACTGCTGCATGTACAGTCAAACTTCTTGTCCAACTAGTCACCCATCTTTATCATCATTTGCACAAGTCCACGAAGAGCTTACTTAAAGCTAACGATGATGAGTACACCCCTGGAGTTGGAAATCGTCATTTTTCTTAGTTTTCCAAAGGCGTACAGAGAGCATTAACCCCTCTCTCTATTCACCCAGCGTACGGTTTGTAGCAGAATTGTGAAAATGATGAACTGGGACATTTTTGAAATATGTCGTAAAACGGACGACTTTTATTGCGTTTTACTTTTAAACCTAACGTGTTCTTTCATTCATTTGTTCATTTTCTTCTGGCGGAGGGGAAAAGCAGGGTGAAGGATAGGAAAGGAGGAAAAGAATCACATATTTTACTTCTGATCTGCTGGAGACATGACTAATTCTGTACATAAAGTGTTTCCCCTGATTGCTTCATAGCGCCACTTTCTGCGATATCACATTGCGTCACGTATTGGCATAAGATACCAACAAGGACCAAGGGTATCTTTCCTTAAAGGGACAAGGTCAAAAGAGATAAACCTGGGGATATAAAGTGTGAGGACTGCGGGCTTATTTGGTAGATTCATCTTGGAGAGATAAAACCTAAGTTTACGGTGGCTAAGATACGAATGTATTTAGAAACCGATTTACATCAGGCAAACTGCTCCGTCTATTTACTTAGTTTTTTTTTTTAATTATCCCTATATTGATCTTTATTGAGTAGTACATGTACTTTCCCTGCTTTAGTCTAGACATTATATAATGTATATCAAACTGTATATGGTAATCACTCTGCGGATTACTTCTTGTATTTGTATTTGATCATGCCCGGATGTAGGGCGATAGTCAATAAACTTCTGATTCTGATACTGGTGTAATCCATATAATACTGATCACATACTCATATTAGAACTTATTATTTAACTTCCCTTGATAAATACAGAACCGTAAACGGGACCTTTACGCACAAGGTCCCATATCTACTCCATACGGTATAAGTATGTTAACATTATTTCACAATTTCATTTTGTGTTATACTTAAACTTGCTTATCTAATTCTCAATGTCACTTTCTCTGTTTACTCACCGGTTTGATTCATTTTGCACTGCACATATAATCATATTTAAGCGCCTCACACAGTGAAAATATCGAGTAAATACAAGAGGCTCATGCCCACCTATTGGTGTACACTGTACATAGATCGATCCAACTCCACGGGGACTCTCGCTGAGTGCAATCAGATTAGTTTCCTCCTGGCGTTGAGTAGAGAAGAAAAAGCTGGTGATTTCACGAGTACGTTGGAAACAAGAGGAGGGGTCTTTATCTGTTAATCTGATTGCATTCAACGTCAGTCCTACCGGAGTTAGATCGACTCACGTAGATCAGTAGTTTCATTCTGAAGGAGCCTTAACTCTGGTTGCTCCGATAATTCACCCTTACCCAGTTGATGGATGCAGACATCGCAGCAACCACACATGCTTCCCTTCTGCTGTACTCTACCGCCACAGTTCTGAACGGCGCTCAAATCGCACTTAACCGACTTGCAGAAGTTTGGTGGGCAAACTATCATAGACTGTGCTGCCGCTACCAGCAGGGCAAAGATGAGAACGGTCCTCATGACTAGGCGTAGAAAATAAGCATTAAAATAAAATAAGTAACTGGTGACAAAATATCTGTTCTATTTATATTTTAATAATTTTACGTTATATCCTCTTTTCAATTGTCGTGTTTTAAACTCCAACTTTGTTAGATTTTAATCTGTCTGCTAATTAATTTTTAAGCCTTATCTTTCATTATAATTATGTTTCAATTTTAACATTAATAACTTTAAACTTGTACATGTAACTCTTATATAGTGAATTGCTGTTGTATTTCATATGTGACTGGATTGTTCATGAGAATAAAAACAACTGAAACTGAAATGGCTAATAAGATACCAGTGATCCTATTCATACCCTCTTTATCACGAGACGCCAAACCCGCAAACACGCAAACATTTAACCACCAGATCACTCGCAAAGAACGTGTCTACCTCAGCAATAAACGATACTAAAACAAGGGCCACACCACACGACAAACACGTCTCTTGGCTTGTATTTTAGCTACTAACATAAATTAGCTACTAACCTGCAGATGCGTCCTAACACTATCAAACTTGTCAATGCAGTTTGTAGGTGTATCTGTCCCGAAGCAGAGGTCTTCACGTATTTATGTCACCCCACCGGAGAGATCCGTGTCCTTCAAGCAAGGGCATCTTGTTCAAATATTGTCAAGCACTTGTTGTTGCCAAAGCTGTTTATGGTTTTTTAAATTCCCAAATAAGTTTTTTCACCCTTTTATTTAATCCATCCTTTGATTTATTTGCTTATTTGCAATGTTGCGATTGAAAAAGAACTGTTGGGGTCGAATTTCCACCTCACAGCATATTGAGCATTTCTTTAAAAAGGACGTAAAAAGAACATATTATAAATCCTGCAGACAGTGCCAGACTGCATAACTCTGTATTTAAGGCCTAGCCCCCTGTGTGATAAATACATGTCTTCCACATAGAAACGATCAGGGCAGCTGTGACGTCACGTTTTATTCAAACAAATGAAGTCAATGCCATGAGATTACAGATTCAAGGGTGAAGGTATCCTCTACCAGGGTCACAGATTGATTTTTCACTTGATATTTACAGATATATATGTCTGGTTAATCCATGGCACATTTCTCTACTTGTGTTGGAGAAAAGTGCACATAATTAAACTGCGGCCCTGGCAGAGAGGAGATTAAAGCAAGGACTTGGAATTCAATTCACGTCCTTGGTTGAAGGCATTGAGGACTGGATTACACAAATGTCTCCTCAACGAACCGTATTATGCGCAAATCTTGTAGATGTGCAGCATGGGACACCCAAAGCAATTTGAAAGACAGAGCAGTTCCCTCTCTTATCAGCAAAGGCACGGTGGTTCATGTAGGCTACATGTAGTACATGTAATAATCATTATGAGTAATAAAAATCTAACAAGGGTCTTGAAAAAGCTTCATTTATTACTCTTTAGATATCAGTGTCATATGTCATGTCGGCACACTAAACGTCACAGATATCTGTACCGCTTTAAACGAGATTATCAGTAAACGAACACTTGGGTTTGACACCCCGGCCTGGCACTGCATCTTGCCAACTGATATTGCAAACGGGTCTATCGCAATAAAATTTTGGCATGACGCCTTGGTATCATTTGAGTTTTCGCTTTGGTTTTAGGGTAAAGTTTTCATTTTTACGTATGCACATTTCACTGATGGACAGATAACACAATATCTTCATTTAGTAAGGACACTTGCCTGAAGTCTTTAACCCTTGACCTGTCATGTATTGACCAAGGGACCGTTTCCCAGTGGAAATAAAGGCCCATTGAACTAACCTAAGAGGTATAATCTATAGGCCTACTGCTGCAAATATGAAAAGATACCGTGCTATTTAATTCATAAAAGCATATTTAAAATTGCAAACGTGGCAGTATACTCAAAATGCATTTTTTTTTACTAAGATCTTATTAACTATTAAATGACAACTTTAAACAATGTGGGTCTGACCTAAATAATAGTAGAATACGCATAAATGCGCAGAGTTGACATTTTTGCGTGTTCCGTTCTATGTTGATTTTTGAGACAGCCCCTCCCTATCTCCAAGCACCTGATAGATCGCCGACCTCCCGGGAGCGTCCATCTTACCTGGGGACTTGCCAAGCACGTGTTTCCTCACTGACAGTAATAGAGGTGGGTAAAATTTCCCAAACTTATTTCGATCTAATCTTTGTAACCTTTTTTAATCGCTTCAGGCTGGTGCTCAGTCTGGTGCTTAGTGTGTATTGAAAAATTCCCGGCGTATGTTGCCAAAACTGTACAAAAAATTACATTGCAAAGGGTTATTGCATGATAATCTTCAGTGCATCAAGAAAATTGCGTGCTGTATTTGGTAACAAAAATAAATGATTGCATTACTAATTTTAATTAGTAATGCAATCATTTATTTTTGTTACCAAATATTCTTAAAAGAATATTCAAGTGTGTGAACATAACAGTATCGTAATTAAAAAAAAAAAAAAACACACACACACACAATAGGTGAAGATATTTGCAAACGAAGTGAAATGTTACCTTCGCAGTGTATCGGGAACACCGATGTCTTGGCAAACATTGCAGCAACTGTTGAAACTCTGTTAGCAAAACTGACCTTTTTACATATCGATGCTGGATAAGGTGTTTTTGTTCGCTTTTCATTACTAAATGCATGTGGGTGTGCATGTGCGTGTATTTGGGGTGGGTGAATTTGTAGACGACACATACGAATAAATATAGTATATTGCGACAATAATTATCCGGCTGCTTTATTACTACCACCAGTATGTACTTCACAAGATATGGCACTGTGCATAGACGCTTATCCGTAAAAATTAGAGTACGTCGATTGTCAATGGCTTCTACCTATTGAAATATTAGATAAGACACGGTTTGAAGGCCAAAAAGTTTTCAGTTACCCTGAATTTCAAAGGAAAAGCTAAACTTACGACTCTACACTAATGCCTATGATAATAAAGTAATGAGTTTTCAGTGTCCTTTGAAACGAGGGGTATCCACTGTTGACACTGTTGCACCTCTGATAACGTCCAGTTAAGAGGGGTGCGTGCCTAGTGACCAGTGGATCGTCTTATCAAATTATGTAATCTTTCATATTGACTGTCCATTTGGTCAATGGCCTTGGCCTACAAATAAGCGAAGTCGATTGGTCATCCAGCTGGATTTCTACAAACGCCCATGTCGTCTGCTCAGAGAGAAAGTCGTTCATTTGAATAAAGTTTAAAGTTTAAAGTTAAGTTAGAGGGGGTGGGGCAGGGACTTCCCTTTTAACCCGCTTCTGCCTAGGCTTTTAACTTACGTGGTTAAGAACTAGCATCTCTTCGACAAACTATGCAACTCTAGGTATATGACTTACAATAAAGAACATTCCACATTTTACTTGCACGGTTTTATTTTCATCAACATGTCTTGAAACAAATTCAAATTTCATCTTGACGGTACCGTCAAAGAAGTCAAAAAATTAACGCTAATTTGTGTGTGACTTCGCAAGCAATGTACGTAAGTAGATGCATAAACAATCACGCCCCAATTAAAACTATGCAACTGAACATATCTGCCTTGGAACTTCTGACAGCATCAAAAAGTATTTTTGTATATTTTTATGTCTACCATTCCCACCATTTCCCACAGAATTCGAATTTGTTTCATGCCCAGTGCAATAATGACGCGGTATTTACTCATACCCATAAAGATAAACTGAAGTAGGCGCACATACTGAGTATAAGACCTAGAACTGCCTCGGGTAATGCGAAAGAACGTCTATCGTTCTATAATAATCTTATTTAGGAATGAGAAACCTACGCAACGACCGTGTGTCTTTTCTATGATTATTATTTTCTAGAGGCCTACACTTTATTGGAACCACACTTACTGCATTTTAAACTTAAAAGTTTACTAGAGGTATCGTGTTAGAAAATAGAAAGCGCCAAGAAGATTGGCGTATCAAGGACTTCCGAGGCCGGCATTATATTTTGAGATAATTCTTGAAAAGAAAAAAGTATTTAGCAATTAACGCATGCTACATGTAAGTAATACAGTTTATGGAAACGAAAAAGTAATGTCGTCTGAAATGTCATGACTTCTAAAACCATTCCTATAAATGAAATGAAGGATGAAGTATCAAATATAAAATATATATTTAACTATCCCTCAGAGATGCAAACATCAACACGAAAACAAACAATAAAATGGAAGCTTTTATTCTAAATACGGTGTACAGAATATTTTCATATATAACACTAGAGATACATTAAACAAGCCACCTCTACAAATAACAAAAAAGGGTAAGGGGCTTATCAACTGAAACATAGTTATACAACTAGTCAACAAAAAGAATAAAAACCAAAGATCGAAAGAACGCCCTACTCAATTTCTGAAAACATGTAAAGTGCTTTTAAATAAAATACTTCCATTTTAATGGCAATACAAAATTATAATAATCGGCATGGTACACGTAATTGTCAGATTACATGTATGAAAAAAGCTAATTTGAAACAATTTTACTTGCGGCGCTTTGCTATAACATGTAGCAAACGTGGGCGCTGGTAAAAAAAGCAACCTACCCCCCCCAAAAAAAAAAAAAAAAAAAAAAAAAAAAATATATATATATATATATATATATATATATTTTTTTTTTTTTTTTTTGAGCGTTACAATATCTGTTATCAATTGCTTTTTCATCTTTCTATACAGCTAGTAATAAAAGCAATTTCCTATATCTTGCTTGCTAAATCTTGCTCCGGTTTCCACAAAAAAAAAAGTTTCTGTCTTAATATACCGCGAACTACCGGTACAGTACTGTATCAGCGGCTTGTCAATAAACTGGATCAGAGCTCTTTTATCTTAAGTACATGGCGTAGTAAATATAGGGTGCTGCTTATTTTACCCGTTTAACATACCGGTATGTATCCCACATATTGCATAGTGTGCTGGTATATATATGTTCCTTTGCCCAAGCAGAGATACATGCACAACTTCAGAAACAATTACATGTATCAAAGTCAGATTATTTAGAAATGAGTCAATCCTCTTTTCTAGGGCCTCCTTCCACTGTCTTCTGGGTTAATTTCCAATGTTACAGAAATATATAATATTTAATATAGATTGATAACAGTTGCCTATAGTTGAACATACAAATAGGCCTACACGTTTGATAACATCAGCTTCAAAAACATGCTGGTGATTATAACAATATCACGGTCACTAGTTTTGGACATTTACAAAATATATTCTTGGTTAAATTGTCCATCAAGGAGTTACGTATAGGATTCTATTCACCAAGAGGGAGGGATATCTTCTCCAGCCATTCTCAGTGGCTGACCGTTAATCATGATATCATCTAATTCTAAGTTTTCCTGGAAATATGAAACAAAAATTATAAACCAGTATAATTATATGTTCACTGTTGCCTGGTCAAGATATAATTAGCTTTTAGACACTTATTTAGAGTAATAACTCTACATGTCAATGTTTATTACATTAAGGAGACATTTTAAATAAGTGAGTGGCTTTTAAACTGATAATGTAAATCACTTTGGGAGTTGCATGGCTGTAAAAATGCATAAAACTGATAACATCTCACTGGCAGATTCAAGTCAGAAGGGAGAGGGGTGCCAATGAGGTTGGGGGGTGGGGGTTGCACCCTCCCACCTCTAACTATGCATCTGTACAACATTTTAATCTAAAGAGTGATCAAAGTAGCTCATTGGTCTTCTTGTTCTAAATACATGGCCACACTCAGATCAGATGATCTGGGGACTTACTGGTCCGCTGATCAAATATGGCTGAAACCACTTGAAAGCAATGCCACTTATTCCCTAATGGCCTCACTGCCTACCACATGGTCCAAGGTTAAATTGCTAGGCCTCTGCATGGGTGACGTGTGCGGAAGTGGGGAGACAGTCAGGGGATTAAGCAGCATTGTGGGAGTGGGACCGACCATAAGTGGGACCGGCCATATTTAATCTGCAGATCAGTTAATCCACAGACCATCTGTTGTGAATGTGACCATACACATACCTCATCACTTGAAGACTCCTCGTCTTCCTCGTCATCTTCATTGGCATTTTGCCACTGTGAAAAAAGGGCCCCATTGTTGATGAGGAGGGTGGCAATATCTTGGTATCTGGAAGATTTGAGAGGCAGGGTATTAGCACATGCCTGGTATGATTATGAATCATGACTAACACAATTTTTGTGAATTCTCACTTAATGGTAGCAAATACTACATCATCTACATGTAACACATTACCAGTAGTTAAGCACCACAAACACTTGCTTTTTTATAATGATATGTTGCTTTTACAAAACAAAACAAACAAACAAAAAAATAATTAAAGCATGTGAAAACTATGTCAGACATTTATTATTCTTTACAAATAATAAAAAAGAAATAAAGAAAAAATGAACATAAAAATTAAAGCATCCTATCCAAACATGTTGGAAAGCTTCCATCGTAAAAGATAATAAACATATAAAGAATAAACAAAAAATATCCTTTACCTTCTACCCATTGCTAGTGACAGAGGACTGCAGTTGTCATATGTCCTGGCATCCAGGTTGATCTCAGGTTGACTGAGGAGGTAATACAGGAGTTCAATGTCGCGTGTTTCTACAGCATGGTGGAGGATGGTGCGGCCACTTTTACCATCCTGGGGTCAAACAAAGTAATGGTCAAATCACAGTTAGATTTTGTACCATAAATAGTATGGTCAGAGTAATACAGGAGAAGAAAGATGACGTAAAAAGGAAGTGCTAGCACATTTGGAAGTATAAGACACTTAAATATATAAATATCTTAGTGTGACAATTATTGCAATAAACCATCATACAAAAGTAAATATATATAAAAACTATAAAAATTAATTTCTTATTCTATTAGGCTAAGTGTTATTCCCATTACATTCATGAGTCCCCACAGAATTGGACTGATCCTAGTAGACTAACAGTTTCAATGGGAATAAGCCCTAGGATTACTAAATTTCAATATGAAACTGTTATAATTCTATATCAGATATAAGGGGCAGTTCAGAAAAGCAACACACCTTGACGTTAATGTCAGCTCCCAGTGAGATCAGGTAGTCAACAGCACCAATATGTTTCCTTGACGCAGCCAAATGAAGGCAACTCTGGCCTGGTGATAAAATGAATAAAAAAACTGTTTACCAAATAATATAATTTATAATTCTGATAAGTGAATGGTGTTTGACTTTCAAATGCATGGTGCATGTAGATAAGATAAGGCACTTCGAATACAAATTCTATTTATTTTTATGCAATACTGTCAATAATATGTCCAAAGAAAAATTCTCTTTGTTGACGCTTTTGGATGTAAAGATGTCCTGACTTGGAAAAAAAATGAAGTGCTAGCAGGATCAACTCATCTCCAAGGGGATTCTCGCTAAATTGCTTTCAGCTTAAGCAGCTTAGATGTCTGGCACACCTACTGAAGCTGCTACATGATAATTAATTACCCCCTAACAGCCTCAGTTGGTGTGCCAGACATAAGAGCTGTGTAAGCTACATATGTAATTTAGCAAGAAACCCCTTGGAGATGCAT